GAGTATGAAGGTGCCGGTGGTAGAAGCGCCATCTGTGGTCGGCGATAGCGTATCGTTAAAGCGATTTCCCATAATTCTAAATTAAATTAAATACTTAAAAAATATTATAATAAATATTCCACCAAGCTAACGTAATTAATTTTCACCGCCTATTCACCTATATTCTTTCTTTACTTTATTATATAATTATTTATTATTGTAATATTTATTAAAAATATAATATTAATTTTTAATTTAATAATTTATTTTTTTATAACTAATTTACAATTATATACTATACAATTATATACTATATATCATATAAATTCTTAATAAAAAACAAATGGATTTTCTATTTTTTTATATATATAAAAATCATTAATTGATTAATGATCTTGAATATGTCTATGTTTTGAAAACACATCAAAGAAATAATTAAACTTTCTATTAATTTTTACCATAATTTTTTATTCCCTCGGTTTCTCTCTTCCCCACTCTTAATAATTTTTTAATTCTATTTTTATTCCCCGTTTCCTTCCCCTAACTCTAAATTAAATAAACACAAATGTAAATATCAAAATAAAAATTATATAATTTAAAATAAGTGACAAAATAATTTTTTAACATAGATACATTAATTCATCATACCGTATTCGTGATAAAATCCCATGTATTAAAATAATTAAAAATACTATTAAATTAATATATAATCATACCCACATTGAAATAATTAAATTAGTAAATATGCCCACAACTAAATGCCTAAAAAAATAATCATACTATATTCCGTTATAAAAATCAACGCAAACTACCTCTAAAATACTCTACATTAAATCCTGAAACTAACTCAGACTCACCCTCTACAAAATTTATAGATCTACGATTCAACTCAGCTATTATTCTCAATAAAAATACTAAAAATAAAGGCATAACTATAACTCCATACCATGCATACACCTGTCACTCTAAAAAATCTATAAAAGAATACCTCTCCTTCAAAACCATTAAGGGGATGCTGGAATGTTTTATCATTAATTATTAAAGACTCTTTTCTCTTAATTGTGTTTACGAATTGGAAAATCCTTCTCCACAATTAAAGTATCGACAACAACGCAATTCGCCAGCTACATTTGAATACGAAAAACGAAAGAAAATTGAAGACTTACAGTTTTGTTATCGGCTTCTGTAGTCAATACATCAAAATATGTGCTGCATATAAGAGTTTCAGATCTTGCACGTTCATAAAAAGTAGCTGGCGAATTGCGGAAAACCTAAACGAACAATCCTATGCTTTTAGAAACGCGGTAGGAGTTTTAGTATAAGAGAAAATAGTATCCGAAAATTTCGTTTTTCGTATATTACGAGTGAAATGATGATGTTAAAATAAGTCCTGTGACGAACAAAATTGACGAATATCAAGCGTCAATCTTGATAGTTGTACGTTTATAAAGTTTTTACAAAATTGTATATTTATAATAAATTATATATAAATTATGTACAATTGTACATAAAATGAAATGTACAGGATACAAATGACCTAAAGGATTAATAATAGTGATATAAATTACAAAATATTTACAAACAAATGAATATTTACAAACAAAATTGCTGTAAGATAAATGTTTAGAACTTCTTAAAGCTTTTCTTTGATTCTGTTCCTTTCGACATCTTCAATACATTAAATCTTACTGTCTTGCTTAAAGATCTGCAATCTCCAATGGTGACTACATCACCAATTTCTACATCTCAGAAACATAAAGTTCGTGAATATGAATGTTAAATTAATTGCTCATTTTTCTTTAAATATTATTTCGTAACTCAGATATATAATGATCATCAAAATATCTCAGTAGACCATCGTGATACAAATTATCAGCATAAAAGTGGAAATTAAAAAAATTTTAATAAATAAAAAAAAATTATTTTATTGTTTATGTACCTAAAGCAAGGGTTAAGATGGGCACTTATATTGTGGTGCCGCTTTTCGAATCGATTATATTTTCGGATGTAATGCAAGTAATCTCTGCGAATAACTGCAGTACGTTGCATTTTCAATTTTTGCACCATTCCAGTAAGAATGCGCCCTCTAATTGACGCATTGCCCGTAAAGGGACATTTCTTATCAATGTAGGTGCCCTCAAGAGCCTGCAAAGATTAAACCAGCAAAATATATAAGGTATACTTTATCAATAAGAAATAGATATAAAAACATTCAGAGAATATAGACTCTTAAAATATCTTCAGAAGACCATCGCGATATTTATATTATCATCAATTAATATTTTGGTCAAATCTACGATATAATAACGATAATGTAATAAAAATGATCTATAATAATAATATTGTAATAAAAATAATTATAAAATTATGATATATACTGAATCTGTAGTTATTTAAATCTCAATCAAATTTATTTCTAATTCTAATATACTTTACCCTAATGAATTACATCCTATCTTGAATAATATTATAGAACAGATCTATTTTTTATAGCTAAATTTTGTAGCTAAAATAAATACATTTTTGGAATCTAAAGTAGATATATTTGATATTTGTCAAAAGCAAGAAAGTTCTAATACAATCTAGCAGAGGAATAAAAACGTATTAAATCTTTGTACATTCAACCATTTACATCTCATACAAAAGATGAGTTTTTAATTCATCGATTAATCAATGCACAAATATAATTTTACTCTATAAAAGTAGTATGTGCAATTGATCAGTGGAATCAAAAAATTCACCTGTACTCGCTGAGTTAGGCTACTTTCCTGTTAGGAAACACAAACGTCGTTCTAATTACATTCAATGAATAATAAAGATAAAGCAGTACTTAAGTCAAATGTATCTCCTAAAAGGAAAGCAATCTTAATCAACATGCTTCTTATGAATGTGAAATAAATTAATAGTAAATGAAACGCATCTGTTCTAAGAATATCGACCAAAATCATCATATCAGAACAATAAACATTGGAGCAAGGCAGATTTATACTTCGCGAGGAGTTTTGAAACCGACATTGCGGCTATCTCTCATAGGCTTCCTGCGCTTCGAACCTAGACCTTTCATACGATTAAGAAAGATCGTGGGCTGCTTCTGGAACGCGCGTTGGCTCTATAACAAATAAAATTGTATGGATTATGTCATATCATTTGTCACTTCTCCGTGTCCAAATCTTTGCACGTGCTATGCCGACCAACTAACTTTAACTATTTGAACGCGTCTTGATCTACGATCTTACATGATAAACTACTTTTATCAGCTAACGCTAATTACGACGAGGGCATATTTTCATAAAATAATATTGTGATGTGTAAACGAGGAAATCGATTTATTTACGATCACAGCGTCGAACACGTACCTGAACAGCCATCTTGTTCGTCTAAAAGAGCGACGAAAACCGGAAGAATGGACTATGGCAATTGGCATGGTGGAATTGGTGGAAAGACGCATGATGTAAAGGCCATGCGCATAATAGAAGGAATAAAAATGCCTTTTCATGCTAACGCTCGACATTAATTTTCAGCGTCAGATCGTCGTCACGCGATCACAGTTGACGCTTGGTATTCGTCAATTTCTATCACACGACTTATTTTGACTTCGAAAATGAGCGTCGAGCGTCGAGAGGCACCTTAAAATTCACTGTCAGAGCTCTAATGTGTAATGCCTAGTTCACACTGGACGCGGTGGGCGATGAACGACGATATCCAATGAAAGCTGTTGGTGCTTGTTCACACGTGACGACAAAAAGCAAAGCTCTTGTTGGATATCGGTCGTCATTCACCGCTTCCATTCTGCAGCAGGCATAAGTTCGATATTATATCCCAGAGCTCTGATTGTATGGCTCATTATTCCCTGTTGCCTGTGTCTATTGCCTGTTTCTATTGTGTTTAAGCTTTTACTCTTTGTTTTTTTCTAATTATTAGAACGAGAAAAAGACAAAGAGTAAGTTGAATTGAGATTAAAGTTAATCTATTATACATTGGTAGAAACGGGAATTAGAGTTTCTACATTGGTGGAAACTCGGAATGCAGCTTACTCGCCGAACGATTGATTCTTATTCATAAATTCACAAATAAGAATCGATCGCTCGGAGAGCGGTACATAAGCCGCATTCCAAAATCCATCGAAAAAAACTGTTGCAACTTTTCCGTGACTGATTGTAGTAGAAAAAATTTTTACTTTAGGCATTTCACATCAGAGCTCTGACAGTAAATTTTAAGGTGCCTTTTCATGCCAACGCTCAACGCTCGTGGAGCCATGAAACTAAGCAGTATTTTAGTTCTGCGATATTCCGACAGCGGCGCTGTCATGAAAAGTGCGTCGCTGAACCATAGAAATGATCTGAATTATCCTACTCAGGCCCATATTAATAAACGTGCCCTGGTCAAAGTTTTTTCTTTTGAGAGGAAAAATAATAATAAAATAAATATGATATTAGTTATTTCAATTTTGTTGAAATAATTTCTTCCTAAACAAGGAACATACTGTATTATTTACATATGAATACATTGAAGATAATTATTTTAATTACACTGTTCTATCTTTTATTAGGTGTACAAATAAGTTTTAAAGAGTTTTTAATGAAATTTAATATTTATTTATTTAGAAACGAAAACACTTAATTATCAAAATAATCTCCATCATTATCTATGCCTTTAGCCATCTTTCGGGCAGCTTGCGAATTCCAGAAGCGAAGAAGGTTTCGTCTTTCGATGCGATAAAATTATCCACCCATTTTCGCACTTCTTCAAATGCTCGAAAGTGTATACCGGACAAGGCGTTTTGCATTGAATAAATGATAATCAGAAGGGGCTATGGGCTATACGCCGGGTGCGGCAAAATTTCCCAACTAAGAGCTAAAACGTTTCCTTTACAGGTTTACCAACATAAGGTCTAGCATTGTCATGAAGCAATTTCACAGGACGTTTTCCTTTGCCAGTAAATGGACGATTTCGTTCTACCAGATGCATAGCATAACTTTACTGCTGTGGATGTTGCGTTTTGACGTTGATGTAGTGGGTTGTCCTGGATCCACATAATGTTTTCTCTTTTTAGAATTATCGTAAAAACTCCAC